TAAGCTCATACTTGGGTGAATTTCTTTAAGGTCTGGATTGAAGGTGTATTCTTCCAGAATGTTTGCTTTTCTGGTGGCTGACTACTAGGGCATTAACACTCAGAATTCCTCTGGGGTTTTCTGTACTTGTGGGTTCTCGAACCACAAAGATGATAGGAATTAAGCAGCAAGCTTGATCAATTGCCTGGTTATAGTTATGAGGTTTCTAGGAAAAATTATTCCCCTTTATCCATTGCTAAGGTTATCTTGGCAACATCTTGACCTCTCTTCTGTAGATTTATTTGAATCCACTCTAAGAGTTTGGTTCTTGACTTCCCTCTGGGTATGACTCAAACCTGGCCTCCAGGGCTTTTGTGTGTATGCAGCTGCCTAAATGGATGGACAGTTTCCCTGGTTAACCCACTGTCTCCAGTGAGAAGGTCAGCTTGAGAGCTTAGTTACTTTGGATTGCTTCCTTTAGTCACTGTGATCACTTAAATATTTCTCTTTCTGGTCATCTGAATGAGGAACTTAATTTTACCTTTTTAATGGACCTTTTTATATGCATTAATTTTTATTCACTTTATAAAAATTTTCAGTAAATGCAGAGAAGATGAAGGTCTATGGCAGGATACACACCATTCCTTGTTAGCTTTTTTTCATATTTACTGTTTGTGTTGTGTTTCCTGAATTATTTGAAATCCAGTTGCAATTATCACGACACAACCCTAGATGTTTTACTGTGCACTGTCTAAAAACAAAAATATTCTCATTTGTAACCACAATATCATATCATATCATATCTTAGAGAAATAATAAAAATTGTTTAATATTTTATCTAATATCTAGCCCATATTCAAATTCTGTAGTTGTTCTAAATATTTTTTATATGCTTTTTAAAAATTTTTGTGTAGAAGAACTCTAGTGTAGGCCAGAGGAGCAGCAGATGAGAGAATTCACGAGAGACAGAGTGGGGAGTAGAACAGGTGGGTTTTACTGAAATACACTGCTGAGGAGAGCAGCAGGCAAGACCAGAGAGGTCTGCTGAGCCATACGTGGATCAGCTCCCTGGCTGAAGATGGAACTAAGGCCGTGCAGGTGATAGTGCTTAGACTTAAACCTTAAGCCACCAGGGAAGCCCTTATACAGTTTTTTATCCAAAATGAGGATACAAATAGTATGGCAGTGTTTTGTTTGAAATATTAAAAAATATTTTAAAATATATTTGTCAGTAGGGCTATTTTGGTTATTTGATCTACCATTCTTTCGGATATGGAAATAGACTTTGTTTCCCCTTTTTTGAAATATGCTTTTGTCTTCATTTTTCATAGAAACCAAAAGTGCTGTCTATTCACTTTCCTTGAGAGTTTTTAATTATTTGGGTATCTAGTTAAAGACAATAACTTAGTTGAAAATATTTCTGTGTCCTTTTTTAGAGTTGCACCTTTTACGTAGAAGACTTAATGTTGGTTGGCATATTGACTTTCAGTCAAACAAACACACATTTGAAGTTTTGTCTGATAAGTAGACACTGACTTCACCCAGGATTCTATCCCTGGGTATATTCCCCCCCCAAAAATAATGACATTTGTCTATACTGAATAGAACCAATTTGTCCTTGGGGTTTTTTTGGACAGTTGAATTCTGCTGGCTCCTATTGCGTCCTGCTTCTGGTCAGCCCACCTGCACAAAGACAGCAAAGTGAATGATGAAAACTAAGAGTGACCCACGTTACTTTGCTGGGAGAAAGCAAAGGATGAAGATTCCTTTAACGCACAAAGCTAAAGGAAATAGCTGCTCATTTCTAGTAACTTTCTCTCGGGCTTCAGACTTGATGAATTTAGTGTTGCCTGACATATTTTTAAGGATTAAAAAATATATTGCTGTTGAATAACAATAATCATCAAGAGATATGGATGTGCTACTTCTTTTTGATGATCTAGAAGTTATTTATGTATTGAGCTACATGCATGAAACCTCCATGTTTGTATTTTTCTTTGTCATTGACTTCAAAGCAGCTCAGCAGGATTTTAAATATTTATATTTTATATTTTCTTGCACCTGCCCCATGACAATATACATAGACCATGCAAACAAAGATGTATTTAGTAAAGAGATTGTGAAACTGTTTTATTACTGTCCTGATCTCCATCGGAAATGAAGCTGCTTTTTCAAATACTGTTTAGGCACGCTATCTAGCTGTCAGTAATTGTGCAGATTATAATCATGAGCTTCTCTTCAACATGTGTATGGCTATTGTGGTAATAACTGGTGAATCATTGCATTTTAATTTGAATGTATAAAAAATAGAAAGCTCAGCAGAAGCATTCTTTAGAGAGGTAAAAAATCTAAAAAGGAAGAAGAAAATAAGGTATATTCATGAATTTTAACATACTAAATAGTGGAGAAATTTCTTTGATAATAGGATGTACATAGATATTTAGATAGTACTGCTAGCATAAACAGGGGCAGATTTTTTTTTTTTTTGGTTCATCTACTTTATTTTTTTTTTTATTTATTTTTTAAAGAGCTCTTTTATTTTATTTTTTTTTTAATATTTATTTTTATTTATTTATACAAGCACTGGGTACAGTCAGAAGCGCGGGAGGGCGAGAGAATTCACCAGAGCCAGAGCGGGGAGCAGAGCAGGCAGAAGGACCGAAGTACACTGCTGAGGGGAGCAGCGGGCGGCAGGAGAGGTCTGCACGCCATGCGGGACCCTCCTCCGGTGGCCGGGGAGCAGCCAGTAATCGAACCGGCGCTGCAGAGGCTGCAGGCAGCTTCGCAACCCAGCGCTCAACTGCTGCGCCACCGGGGAGGCCCCGGTTCATCTACTTTAGCTGCAAAATTGTTTTTCTCCATCCTTTGCTTTTTTAATTATTACTTCTCAGTAATTGGAATCTGATCTAAAAGTCAAAGTATGTTTCAAAAATACTTCCAGTGACCATTATCGATAATGTTGGCTACAATAGATTGATCTTGTTGCTTGGTATCACCCAACAGTCTAAATCAATTTCAATATTAGACCTACTTCTTGGGGTCATATTTACTGTATGTTTATTTACTATAATATGCTATTAAAAATAATTTTTGTCTTTATCTAAATAACTCCCGAATGTATTTCATTTATTCTACAATAAGCTGATATTATGAACTTTAACTTGTTGGTTTCAAAACTTGTCTCTTAAATTTTATTTTACCCCTATATACAGTTAATTGAGAGTTGTATCTGTTTTTCTTTTGAGCTATCTTGCCATATGTGGTTTAACTTTCTAATACAGAATGACATTTCCTAGCAAGATTGCTATGATATTTGACTTGTACTTTCCTTTTCAGTCTATCTTGCATGCTTCTATCATATATATACACACATATATAATATATGGTTCAGATCAGATCCTATAGGACCATATATTATGTATATAGATATGTCTCACCTACCTTCTAATTAGTGACTTAGGATGTGAAATCCTGTCTCTGATTGGATTTCAAGACACCTCCCTTTTTTTTATATATGTATTTTACATTATTCTTCCATTTTGTACATTGTTTGCTTTCTTCTCTCATAGGCTCCTCTTCCTAGGCTGATTGAAAACTGGGGTAAACTCAAGTCCTGTGGCCATTAAAATAGTCTCATAGTCTCAGACATCAAGGGAAGTACATTAAGTTGGAGGAAAGGTAGAGTCAGGGAGGGGAATTTCAGGGTGGGACTAATCCTGGCCTTTGAACAGGGCACACTGTCCTAGACTGGAAATGGGGTGATAGGGCTGGTCTGACACAGGCCAAGAAGTTGATGCCCCCTGCCCTTGTTCAGGCCTATACCTGAGAGCATGTTGTGCATCTCTTCCATATTGTTCCTTTGAAGTGGATACTTTTTACTTTTCCACCTACCCAGTGTCACAGGTGCTATAGTGGAAGGAGCACTGACTTAGGTGGTAAACTGATCTAGGCTTGAGTTTTGTCTTCTTGTTCACTGGCTGGGTGAGCCTGGCCAAATTACTTTGCCATTCTAAACTCTAGCTTTCTTTTTTGATGATAGAGGTGTTATTTATATTCTTTGTGGATATAGGGATTAAAATGTTTGCCCCTCAGTTTTGGAGCTTTGAAAAAAACTGCTATTAGCACCCATAGATATGGAGAGAAAGGATATATGAAATCTTGCATATTTGTGTATATATAATATTAAATCTACAGGAACATTTGAAGAAATGCTAATTTCTATGGACATGGCTCTCTAGTCTGTCTGCTGCTAGAGGGTTAATAGTTATAGACAGCATAATAACCTCCCCAGATGGTACTAGAAACTCCTTTGGTGGACAGATAAGAGTTCTAATATAAGAGAAATACTATGCCTGGAGGCTCTATATCTTCTGGAAGGTCATTGAAGGAGAGAAAGTTAAGGATTCATGTGCCCTGTGTTTGGTACATATTTGTTAAATGACTAAACAAAGGATAATTTTCCTTAGATTAAATTAGACTGCATGCATTTTTTTGTTTTTATTTTATTTTATTTAAGATTTATTTATTTATTTATTTATTTATTTATTTATTTATTTATTTATAAGCACTGTGTACAGTCAGAAGCGCGGGAGGGTGAGAGAATTCATCAGCGCCAGAGCGGGGAGCAGAGCAGGCAGAAGGACCCAAGCACACTGCTGAGGGGAGCAGAGGGCGGCAGGAGAGGTCTGTGCGCCACGTGGGACCCTCCTCCGGTGGCCGGGGAGCAGCCGGGGATTGAACCTGTGTTGCAGAGGCTATGGGCAGCTTCGCAACCCAGCGCTCAACCACTGTGCCACCGGGGAGGCCCAGACTTCATGCATATTTATTATAACTGTCCTCTCAATGATTATTGACTAAATTTTTAATTTATGAAAATGCATATTTGTTTATATAAAATACTTTGAAACTTAAGTACTTTGTCATTGAACTTATCACTACTTAAGAGGCCAATGAGGTTTAAAATTCTAGTTGAAATCTTATAAATTTGTTAATATAAGTTCAAATAAGACTGATACATTTTATTTATTTGGATATATTTCTGATTATGAAATATGTAATAGTTCATATAAAAAAAAACTAGGAAGGCATAGAGTAAGTAAAGAAGGGAAGTAAAAATAACCCTTAGTTGTATATTATCATCTAGCATGTTTTCTAGGAGATTATATTGATTATTTTGTTTCTTTGTTTTTTCCTCTTAACAGTATATTACAGGAATTTTTTCATAAAAGCTCTTGACATATAGTGTTGGTAGGACTGTAAATTTGTACAGCTGTTACAGAAAATAGTATGGATATTCCATTAAAAACAGAAATTCCGTATAGTCCAGTTATCCCACTTCTGGATATTTACCTGAAAAATACAAAAACATTAATTTGAAGAGATATATGCCATTGCAGCTTTATTTATAGCAGTCAAAAACTGGAAAAAACCTAAGTGACCATTGATTGATGAATGGATAAAGAAGAGGTGGAATATATACACATTGGAATACTATTAAGCTTTAAAAAAAGGATGGCATCCTGCCATCTGAAATAAAGTGGATGGATCTAGAGGGAATTATGCTTAGTGAAATAAGCCAGAGAGAAAAACATAACCACTATTTGATTATCACTCATCTGTGGTATAGAGAGAAAACATACAGATGAATTAAATAAAACAAACAAACAAAAACCCTTTTAGACTCTTAAGAGCATTTAACAGTTACCAAAAGGGAGGAAAGTGGGATATGATTAACTCAGGCAAAAGAGACAATGGTAAGGTGAAGGATAGATTTGGGCTCTTGGCCGTAAACTTGAGGTACTACATATACTTGTTGATTCTCGGCAATGAACTCCTGAAACCTTGTAATGCCATGTTACTTCAATTAAAAATATAAATTGAAACTATATTATAATGAAAAAATATAAAAAAATAAAAGTCTGGATTGTGAAAACATATTCTTGAAAACTAATAATCATATAGCTGCATCATTATTTACTTAGTCACTCATTTATTGGGTAGTTAAGTGTTTGTTGGATTTGTGATTATTTCCTTAACAGTTTCCTAGATTTACAATTAATCTATGAAAATTTTAAATATGCAAATTTTTAAAAGCTTATTACATATTACAACCATTCTTCAGTAACTGGTTTTAGTTCATCAGCTTGATACCTTTTGTATTGTGTGATGGAATTTTATCTTCCTATGTCCTTTCCAACAGTGACTGTTGTCATAGAAAATAACAGCTTCTATTGTGATAAACAAGGAAACAAGGGTGTAAAATAGTAACACGTTATTACTAAAAAAAAAAAAAATAAAACCAGTGGACTTTGACAATAGAACTGAGGCTACCTGAGGGGAAGAGGGTGAGAATTGGGGAAAACAAGGGTAAATCAGGTTGGGTTTTTTTTTAAATATAAAGTTTTAAAATTATTTTTCAAAAAGGTAAGAATGAGCATAAAGAAATGTGCAAGGAAAGACTTACATGGTAGTCTGGTTCCATGAAGAGACTGTGTGAATTCACATTGAAATTCAAATTCAAAATGTTTATACAGAAATCACAAAACACTAGTGATTCAGTTGCTGCTACTCATTTCCACTCATCTGGATGTAGATGCCAATAAAAAAAGGAGAAAAAGAAGTGTAATTTTAGGGAATAAACACAATTATTCTGGAAAAAAAGGCTTTGGCTACTTATTTTTCTGGTTTGCATTGTATAAGTATAATCCCTATTACTGGATTTGTTTTAATTAAACAAATATCTGTGGTGATATCTATCCTTTTGTATTACTACCAATGCGACTTTCTATGAAGATTGTACAGGGGTCACATTTAACTTATCTTTATGCCACCATTAGGGATTTGTACATAGTAGGTGTTCAATAAGCATGAAAATAATTACCACATGATACTTACCTAGATACAGTCCACCACTCACTAGCATATCTTTGCATACACCTTAACCAAATATAAATTCTTTTTATTCTAAAGCAACATATAAAGCTCCTGGATCTCATTCTTGTTTTTGTAGAACAATCCATTCATTGGTAGGACATGTTGGTATATTTAAAATCAGAATCCTTGTTCCCTCTTACCTATTTGAACTGCACTCTCCTGCAATTTTTCTACTTTTAAAAAATAGACATTAGTATTATGTGTATGTAATTTAGCTTGTAAATTACATCAGAAACACCAAATAATTTAGCTTGTAGCAAGCATTATCCATCTGAAACAATCCTGTATTGTCAGATCAGTGAAAGAGATATGGGAAAATGTTGCTGGTGGTTAGTAAGAATGTAACCAAGCCATGAACTTTAACAGAGATGTGAGATGTATATTAAATCAGTTTCTGAAAATCATTTGCTTTTTTGTGTTTTATGGCAGTACCTTGTGGATCAGCATTTAAAATGATAATTCATGCTAATGGCTTTCATTTCCCATGAGGTAGCAGAAATCAATCCTAAAATGGCAGAATGAAAGGGTATAGCAAATAAAGTCAATGAGCTGTCAAAGAATTTTTCTTCATCAAACAAGTCCCCAAGCACTCTGTGTTATATTGACCTTCTCTTACTCTTCTCTTGGATACTTATGCTGATTTCATTTGATTTTTTTTTCCATAATAGAAAAATTAAAAAACATGTGTGGTCAATGAAACAGAAGGTGTTTGAAAATAATACCTTGGAGCAGTGTCTCAATCTTGAGGAAAACGGTGAAGAGGAAATACCGCATTGATTGCTGTTGCTAGGCAACGGCTTTCACAGCAGATGTGCGGGATAGTGGTGGTGTCTGCCAGCATACTATGCTGGGGAGAGAGCATGCTGCACCATGGTACTTCGGAAAAATCAGAATCAGGGCTTTGCATTGCCTCTTTCCTTACAACTTGCTGTGGTTAATATTTGAGAAGTTAAGATTATGCTGTCAAATGTATAGACTGAAAAATGTGAAGCAACTTGAGGATTTTTAGAATTGCGAATAGATTTTTACGGCCAACTCAGTGTCAGAATTCCTGTTTCGTTTCAGAAATACCATTCAATTTTCCACTCATTCATAAATATGTTCACACATTCATTTAGTCAGTGTTCAAGTCTCTGTGCTGCTCTTAAGAGTCCAGGATCTCTCCTATGGCTGACATACATTTTGTAGGCATGGTGGTAAGAAATGGCAGGTGTCTGGCCTCCCCAGTGGCGCAGCGGTTGAGCGCTGGGTTGTGAAGCTGCCGGAGAGCCTCTGCAGCGCCGGTTCAATCCCCGGCTGCCGGGTGAGGGTCCCACATGGCGCGCAGACCTCTCCTGCCGCCCGCTGCTCCCCTCAGCAGTGTACCTCGGTCCTTCTGCCTGCTCTGCTTCCTGCTCTGGCTCTGGTGAATTCTCTCACCATCCCGCGCTTCTGACTGTACCCAGTGCTTGTATAAATAAATAAATAAATAATTTTTTTTTTTTTAAAAAGGGAGGTCTCATTGCAGTGTGCAGATGTGGTATAATGAAGAGCCTCTTGGGCCGTCCTCCTCAGACTCTAGTTCACAAGATGTAGGGAACATGAAAATCTCCTTTGCAGCTTTTTAAAGATTTCTCACCCCCACTCCTGGTGATCTTATTGCCAGAGTTCTGGAAAGTAATTTAGGAATATGCATTTCCAAACAAGCTCCCTGGATGATTTTGATACAGGTGGTAGGAAGACTTCTCTTGAAATAGCCAAATTCTGAAGGATTTCATCTCCCTTTCCAGCTAAGATGTCACTTGTCAGTTTTAATTCAGTAACAAGGAAACTACTTGCTGTGTCTATATTTGTTCAATCTGTGCCTCTTCAAGCTTGATTCTTAAGTCTCTCTTTATTAGAACTGTTTGTGATTCAGTAGTATTGGACTAGTTTGGGTGTCTTCCAGAACTTGCTCTGTGGCTATACCTCAGGAGGAAGTTGGAGGGTAGCACACCATCACTGCTTATGACTCGCCCACAAACAAGAAATGAGTATACATGTAAAATATGCAAGCCTTGATGTAAATAGGCTATAACATAGGCCTTTAAGACTGATTTTCAGTGTGCCTTTCATTGAAAGCAAAAAAACAAGCAAGCAAACACACGCCTGAACCAATTGGTCACTGACTTTTTTTTTAACCTCCTAACTGATAACATCTCAATGGTCTGTCATTTATAAATATGGCCAACCCTTCAATAAAACCTTATATGCTTATAACTTATTTGCATAAATTAATAATTATTGCTTATATGTCCCTACAATAGGATGATTCTTTTACATTTACATTTCTCTACTTATATATGCTACAGTTCCAGTTTTGGTCCTAACTGAGCATATTTGAGATCTTGGCCCTAGACCACGAAGAGTACGGACTAGCACAGGTTCATAGTAGTTTATGTAGCTTGTTAGCCATTCATCTATCAAACTAAATGCCTTATAAGTGACTTGTACATTTAAAACTCTTCAAAGTTATTAAGGCCTGTAATTTATCATCAGTAGAATTTCTGACCTTGTTCTTGTTCCCTCACCAGAATGCTGTTCATTGAATGTATATGACACAATAGGAGGAAAATTAAGTTGCACTTACATTACCAGTCTGAGTGGGAGGTTTAAAATGTTGGCAGTAATCAATAGCAGAACTTAATTTATATACTTTATATTGGAGACATGTTATATTTTCCAAATTGCTTCCATTTTTAAATTAGTTGCCCTCATTTCAGATCATACTCAGAAATAATATATTTTCTATATCTAAACCATCTTATATGGTTTGACCTTTAGCTGAATAAAGTAGTAGAGATCAAAATGAATTATGCTTGAGTGGAAAGGGATTTTAATGTTGCTCTGCACTGTGTTTTCCCTCATCCCACATGCTGTTTAATATTATTAATTCAGCTTGAATGATGATGAGCCAAAAAACGACTTTAGCTGGTTTTGGCTAATGCATTCTTGGATGTTATTGAAGTGCCTGTAACACCTGAATGGTTTCACATAAATAGTAATGCATTTTTATGCATTTTTATTTTGCCCACAAGAGAAAATACCACATGATTGCCTATAAGCAGCAGAAAACAGGTTTCTAGATGTATGTTCTTCCCTTGGTGCAAATATATAACTGCCATTAGCCTTAATAGGGGCTCCCTATTTGCATCCAGGAATTTAGTATTTATAGTATGACAGCAATGAATATTTGAGGAGTTATTACTGAACCTTTCAAATAAGTTGAATGGCATAAATGGCTTTGAGTACTAGGAAAGTGTGGGAATTCTTTAGAAATGAGCTATTCAGAATACTTAACTATTGTCAATGAAGTGTTAGTGAGAAGGGAACTATCCACATGTTTAGATTCACTTTAGCTAATAGTGTCTGTGTTTATTTTACCGTCACATCAGCGCTCTAGAAATGCACTTTGCCCTGTGAAGTCAGTGGAATAGTTTCAGCCTCATTCATAATTCCCAGGCCTCTCAAACTGCCCTTGTTTAATTTGCTAGCATTATAATGGCCTGTGAAGCAGCTGTGTTGCAGAATCAAAAGTGCATGCAGAGAGATAGCTGTGATTTCAATTAGCTATGAGGTAAAGTTAACGATCGTTCTAGAATTATTCTGTCATTCTGTCATTTCTATACTAAACAAAAATGTGTAGTCTTACTTTTTAGAATAGATGCATCTTAAAATTTCCCTGTCAACCTGAATTTTTATGTACCAACTTGATTTTCCTTTATATTTTCTTTATATAGCCAAGAGAGATATTTATCTAGATGAAAAGCCATTATACCAAGATACAGGTAATGTTACATTTAAGAATGCTTCAAGTCTGCTAAGACTTTAGAAATCACAGATTTATAGGGAAATAATAATTTTTCTAATAAAACCTGACAGCTTCCAAATAGCTGGGCTTATTTTTACATTTGGCATCCTGAAGAAAAAATGACTCAATAAGCTGGGTTGGAGAGTCACCTGGGATTCTTGACTGCACGGTCCTTTGTGAGAGCCAGTGTCGAAGAAGAGTGTACAGGTTTAACGGGATTTAAGTAAGACTGTAGTTTGAAAAGTGGCATTGACTCAACAAATAATTGCAGGATGGTTATTGATCTCATCCCAGAAAACTTGAAAATTGTATTTTTCCTGTTTGGTAAATTACTCAAGTTCAATTTTCTGTTTTTAATACAATGCTTAGATAGTTTTTAAAATGTCTTGTTTTCCCTCTTAAATGTACAAGCATGATTAATAGTACTCAAGCCAAATTTGAAGACTAGAGTTGATATAAAAGGTGAGAGTTGCATGTAGTACTGGCCACTCTATGAGCTGTAAGATATTGAAAGGTTCTCCTTGTGTTTAAAAATAATGTATGGCCATTTTGGAAAATGGAGAAAATGTAATCTGTGTTTTAACCTGTAGAGTTAACAGCAATTTTTTTCTGTGTGTTTTTTTTTTCTTTTTGTTCTTACAAAGTTAATACTATATTTTATGTAAAATTCTTTGCAAATTTTTCATTTACTATTATAGTAAAGGCAGATAGTTGCATTTCAGTGAAATTCTTTAAATATTGCTGTTAATAACAAAAGAAATCTCATTAAGAAGACATGCTAAAATTGATACAGTTCTCTGTTTTGGTTCTATCTAGATTT